CTCGGACACGACTGCGATCGCGGCGGCGAAGGGGCCCTTTGAAGCAGAGAGCAGCTGCTCGTAGGCGGCGGCGGCGGCGATTCTTGTGGCGTTGGAAGGTGTGTCGTCGCCTACGGCGGACGTGTCATGGACGTGTCATAGACGGGAGGGGCGGGCCGTCGTCGCGCGCGCCCGGGATGCCGCCTGGCGGAGGCGGGGACGGCACGGCACCAGGGTGGGGCGAGCCGCCTGGGATGCCGTCGCCGTCCGAGTCGGAGTCGAGGCGGTCGGGGACGCCGTCCTTGTCCGTGTCGAGCCAGGACGGCTCGCTTGGGCTGCGGATCAGCGGCGTCGGCACCAGTTGCACGCAGCTGCGCGGATCCGCGCACGCCGATCGCCGCAGCAGCCCCCGCAGCACGGTCGTCCCTTTGGTGCGCGCGCCCTCGCCCGCCCCTTGCCAGCCCAGGGACCAGCCGCCGAGCTGCCGCTCGAGCGAGTGGGCGCCCGAGCACGCGAGCAGCAGCCGCGCCTCCCTCGGCAGCGGCAGCAGCGGCGGCGCTCCGCTTTGCTCGAGAAGGACGGCGGAGCGGCGCGCCGCCTGAAGGGGATGGCAAGAAGACTCCTCTCCGCTGTGGTGTGGTGCGGGGGAAGGGCCAGGTGGGCGGTGCAGGCCCCGACCTCCTCCGCCAGCGGGCTGTGCGCCGCGTAGAGCTCGTCGTCCGTTGGCGCCGCCTCACCTCCCTCGCCCCCCGCCGCCTCGCCCCCCTCCTCGCGCCCCGTGGCGTGCGCCCACGGCCCGCGGCTGCCGAAGCCGCGCTCGCTGTCCGCCTCCACCTCTGGCGCGGGGTCACCAAACGGGGACACGAGCCCGATCGCGGCCTATAGCAGCGCGCTCTCGTGACAGCCACACTCTTCTGCGCCCCTCCCCCTCTCGCCCCCAGCGGCGCGCGCAAGCCTTGACTGCGAGCACGCGCGCCGCGGCGTCGTCGACGCGAGCCCGCGGCACTTCGCCGCTCAGCACGGCGCGCTCGACCTACGCGGGAGCAGGCCAAGACCGCGGTGAGGCAGAGGTCCGCCTCTGCCCCCGCCCGCCACCGCCGTCTCTGACGTCGTCGAGGAAGGTCTGCCACGAGACGGAGGCGGCCCCTCCGGCGGTCCAAGTGCCTAGTCTCGACACCATCCACTGACTAGTCTCGACACCACTAGTCTCGACACCACTAGTCTCGACACCATCCCGGCTCCTCTCGGGCCAACCTCGGCTGACTGACTACTACTGCTGCCTCAGCTGACTGGCTATAGGAGCGAGGAGGCGCAGTGCGCCTGGCAGCATGACCATGTCGACTCCGGCGTTGATGGCGGCGGCGAAGCGCGTGAGGGAGCCGCCCCGCAGCTGATCGACGCCGCCCAAGTCGGACACGACAAGGCCGCCGAAGCCGAGGTGCTCCTTGAGGAAGCCTACAGAGTCGCGCGCCGGAGGAGGAGGGTCGGAGAGGCGCCCCACGGCTGCCTGCAGGCGCCCCTTGCTCGAGGGGTGCCGGAGAGGAGCTCTTTGTTGGCGTGCCTGGAGTACGGGGGGAGAGAGAGTAGCTCTGAGCGTGACTCTGAGCACGGCCCGAGCACTCCACAACGCCCCTGCCTCGTGGGTACGATGGGATGCGGAAAAGAGCACGCGTGATTCTGCTCGAGTGCTTCAGTTGCGGGGACATGTGCATGTGCATGTGCATGTGCATGTGCATGTGCATGTGCAGGGACATGTGCTCGCCGCATCTAGGCTGCCGGTGCATCTTTGTGCCGCGCACAGACGAGTACGAGACCATCACCGACAGCACGCCCGCCTGCAAGCCGCGCCTCGGGTCAGCAGCCTCGCGGCCCATCTCGACTACGTCTCGGGTGCAACCTCGAGAGAGAGGACATCACCGACCGCACGCCCCCCGACCGCACGCCTGCACTGCGGCGCGGTACGGCAGCAGGTGCTCCGCCAGCCCCACGGCGTCCAGGTCCGCGTCCCCCTCGTCCGCACCGGAGAGGGTCGCGCCTGCGGGACGTGTCGTGGACGTGTCGTGGGCGTGTCGTGGGCGTGTCGTGGGCGTGTCGCGGGCGTGTCGTGGACGTGTCGTGGGCGTGTCGTGGGCGTGTCGGGGGCGTGTCGCGGGCGTGTCGTGGGCGTGTCGCGGGCGTGTCGTGGGCGTGTCGTGGGCGTGTCGCGGACGTGTCGCGGACGTGTCGCGGACGTGTCGTGTCGTGGACGTGTCGCGGACGTGTCGTGGGCGTGTCGTGGGCGTGTCGTGGACGTGTCGTGGACGTGTCTCCGTGTGGGCCTGCGAGGCGTCCCGTGTTGTGCATGCGTCTAGGCGCGTGTCTAGGAGAAGGATCGTGGAGGTGTGTGGAGGGGCGAGGTGTCCAGAGATGTCCTAGACGCGTCGCGCCGTCTGCTGCAAAGTGCTTTGCGCACGCGGCGACTCGGCCGCGCGCCCGCCCCCGCCCCACGAGCCTCGCCCCCGCCGGGAGGAAGGGGCGCGTTAGGTCGGCCCTCTCGTCTGCGGGCGCCTGAAGGCCGGTGACTGCGGCTGCCGCATGCCTGCGCACGAGCCAAGGGTCAGTGTCAGGCCCAGGGCCAGGGTCAGGGTCAGTGTCAGGGGCAAGGTCAGTGTCAGTGTCAGGGGCAGGGCCAGGGGCAGGGCCAGGGTCAGTGTCAGGGGCAAGGTCAGTGTCAGGGTCAGTGTCAGGGGCAGGGCCAGGGTCAGGGTCAGTGTCAGGGGCAGGGCCAGGGTCAGGGGCAGGGGCAGGGGCAAGGTCAGGGTCAGGGTCAGGGCCAGTGTCAGGGGCAGGGCCAGGGTCAGGGTCAGTGTCAGGGGCAAGGCCAGGGTCAGGGTCAGTGTCAGGGCCAGTGTCAGGGGCAGGGCCAGGGTCAGTGTCAGGGTCAGGGTCAGGGCCAGGGCCAGTGTCAGTGCCAGGGGCAAGGTCAGGGTCAGGGTCAGGGCCAGGGTCAGTGTCAGGGCCAGTGTCAGGGGCAGGGCCAGGGTCAGTGTCAGTGTCAGGGGCAAGGCTTGCCGCGCGCCTGCTCACGAGCTGCTCGTCCGCCCCGAAGCCCTCGTACGTCCTCCCCCACCGGCTGTCCCGAGGCGAAGCGACGCAGGGGCCAAAGGCCCAGTTCAGCCCCGCCGCGGCCACCTCGGTCGCCGTCGCGGCGCCCGCCGCGGCGGTCAGGCTCTCGTCGTCTGCGGCGCCGAGCCCGATGTTGTGCGGCAAGACGGTGGCCTGCTCACAAGAGGGCGCGTGGAGAGACGCCGCTCCCAGGCCCCCATCTTGTGCGGCGGGACGGCGAGGCGTTGGTGGCGAGGGCGTTGCCGTGGACGGCGTCGATGCCGAGGAGGAGGGGGACGCGCCGCGGGTGGCGGCTGGCGGCCTCGCGGAGGCGGCGCGCGCGGGCGGCGAGCGACGAGGCCGAGGCGTTGAGCGTGCCTGTGGGGGCATGTCCCGGACGTGTCTCAACGACATGTCGCGGGCAGGACGAGGCGGCGAGCGGCGAGAGCACCCGCAAAGACGACGGCGCCGGCGCCTGCAGACTTGTCGAGCGAGCCATCGAGCACTGCCGTTATGTCCTCGCCCGTCGCGAGCGCGAGGTTGACATCTAGCTGCAGCATCTGGCCGATCCGCTCGCGCAGCGACAGCCGACCGAGGAGCGCCTGCACGCCAGCAGCCTCGCGGTCGACGAAGCGGCGGCTGACGTCGGGATCGAGAGAGGGAACAAGGCGCTTGAGCTCGCTCAGCGTCTGCGTCCAGTCGAGCGGCGCGGAGCGTGAGCAGCTGCTCCAGCCGCACGAAGCCGTCCCGTCCGCCGCCAGCCTCTGCGGCGCTCCGCCGGCGATGCAGTCGCCGCAGGCATCTCGAAAGTCGGTGGCGACGGAGGAGCAGGCCTCCGCCAGCATCACCCGTGGCGACTGCGTAATAAGATAGTTGACGCGGCCACTGCAGGGATAGCAGCCCTCGGAGTCGCACGCCTTGAACGACGCCGCCCGCTGGCAGAGTTCCAAGCCGCACAACAGCATATGTTTTTGTCGATCGATGCACACACGCCGTCACAAAGAATTTCGCCGCAAGCAGTCATGCTCGCCTGTCCTCCTCCCCCATTCCCTCGTTTGGGTTTGTCTGTTTTCTTTCTTTCTTTCTTGTGATGAGAGAGAGTCTGCGGAGACTTACACACGCCACGCACACAAGATCTCGACTGGCGAGGCTACACTCGCGCGTCCGCATCCTGGTCGTCGTCCACCAGCTGCTCCGTCGACTCCCCCACCCGCCGCGCGCCGTACGGAGGCGGCTCGCTAATCTCGCGCTCCCCCCCGCCCGGCGGCGTCGAGACCTCCTCGACGCCGAACGCCTCTGAGATCTCGTCCGCCGCCACCGCCACCGCCTCTGCGCCCGGGTGGGGCAGATCGGCCAGCTCCGCCCCCTTGCCGTCGGCTCTGCGCGAGAGACCGATGAGTCCGACGAGCGCGATGAGCACGCCTGCTCGCGCGGGCGGGGCGAGAGAGTGGGGTCGGGTATGGGCTTGGGGCCGGGGAGGGAAGTGTGGGGCGGAGGGGGGAGGAGAGGGAGGGGGGCAGGGCTGTGGGGGAGGGGGGGGGCTGGGAAGCGGGGGAGGGGTGTGAGAAGAGACTTGAATAGAGGGGTGAGGGCGGTGGGAAGAGGGCGGGCGGGCCGCACCGGCTCCGAAGAGGGAAGGGTAGAGGCCGCAGGTGTCCTGCTTGCACGCCCATGCCTCGTCGGAGAACTCTTTAAAGAAGAGGCCGCTCGTCGTCATGGTTGCGATCATGAGCAGCGACTGGTAGAGAGGCACCTGTGCTCTCCGCAACCTCGGGTCACACCTCGGACGGGGCGGCTGCACTCTCTCGCTGCACGGGCAATCTCGGGCAATCTCGGGCAGTCTCGGGCAATCTCGGGCAGTCTCGGGCAATCTCGGGCAATCTCGGGAAAGCAGCGGACCGCATACTGCACGGGCATGGCGCGGAGGGTGAGGTTGAGCAAGATGAGCTGCATCGGCGCGCAGACGACCAGTCCGAGGATCGAGATGTAAGGGATCTGTGCGAGGGGGGGAGGGGTAAGGGATCTGTGCGAGGGGGGGGAGGGGTAAGGGATCTGTGCGAGGGGGGGAGGGGTAAGGGTGTGTGCGAGGGGGGGAGGGGGCGGGTCAGGCGTGCGTGTGTGTGTGCGCTTGTGCGGGTCTGGGGAGGAGGGGTGAGGGGGGGTGTGGGAGAGGGGGGGCGGTGTGGCGATGATGGAGGGGGGCGCGGGGAGTCGCACCCAGCTGGTCCAGGCCTCGCCCGCCTTTTCACCGTCTTGGGAGATTGTGACCTCCGCGACCTCGGCGACCATCTGACAGGGCGGGAGGGGGAGGGGGGGAGGGGCGGGTGAGCAGAGGCTATATGAGCGCGGGGCGGGCGCCCGTGGGGCGTGCCTTGAGAAAGGTCTGGGAGAAGGCGCCGAACAAGGCTGCGGCGAACCCGTCGCCGACGGCGATGGTCTTTGTGCTCAGGCGGCAGCGCTTGAGGGCGGCGCTGAGGCGGCAGCGCTCTTGGGCGGCGAAGGGAAGGTGCTGCGTCGTGCAAAACACGACGAGGAAGACCCACGCGGTGATGGCGAAGGCGAGGAAGGCGGTCTGTTTGAAGTGCTCTTCCAGTCTGCGGGTGGGTCCGTGAGGAGGGTGAGGCGAGAGACCGCACCCCCGCGTCCGGCGGTGTGGGCGGTGGAGGGCGGATGGGCGGTGCGGTGTCTCACATTTCGGTCGTGATTACCTTCTCCTCCTTGGGGCCGAAGAAGCTCACGAGCGTCACGCCGGCGGTGATGGCGAGGATGAAGACGATCTGCGCGCGCGAGAGAGGCTCCCGCACCTTGCAGACGCCGGTGGCGGCGAGCAGTGCGCTGAACACAATCGTGACGCCGCCGAAGGGCGCGACCATCGCCAGCGGGAGCAGCGCCAGCGCGGCGGGGGCGAGGCCGGCGGCGCTGATAAGGAGCAGCGCGATCCCGAGATAGAGCCACGGGCGTCTCGGGGGAAAGAAAACGGTTTTGCGCTTCTCGGTGTCGGCGCTGTACTTCATGATCATGAGGCTCGCGGCGTTGAAGAGGCAGCCGAGCAGCACGATGCCGATGCCCACAGGCTGGTGCCACGCCGGAGAGTCCTCCGGAGGGGAAAGTGGCGGCGGTGGTAGCGATGGCGGCGGCAGTGACGGCGGCAGTGACGGCGGCGGCAGCATCTGGTGGAAGTCGGGCGTCAGGGTAGAGGCTCCTTGGCTTGAGCTGCTGTCAAAAAATATTACTCACCGGTCTTTTTTCGGCAGCCATTTTTCTTTCTTTATTTTTCCAAGTGGATATCCCTTGGCCGCGCTGGGTAGCGAGGAATGGTGTGACGCGATCCACGCAGGCGTGTTTTCTGACGGCCGACCGTCAGTGCACGGAGTTGCTCCTTCTCCGACTGCCCTGGCTACTCGAGTAGTTCCCGCTTCCCGGGTTCGTCGCCCGAGACCTAGCGCGGGTGGGTTGGAGGAGGGCTCGCTGCAAGGAAGGGCGGTGTAAGAAGCCGATCCCCGTAGTCCGCCCCTACGTACGCGCGGCGTGAGAGCTCTCTCTTCTCTCTCTCAGTGTATGTAGCTCTTACGTACATTCCCGGAGGAGGACTGCTGACGTTTTTTTTGGTACTCTCTCTCTCTCTCTCTCTCTCTCTCTCTCTCTCTCTCTCTCTCTCTCTCTCTCTCTCTCTCTCTCTCTCTCTCTCTCTCTCTCTCTCTCTCTCTCTCCCCCCCCCCCCTCTCGTTTGTTCCGTGTAGGGGGAGACCAGCGTGCAGATACGTGTTTTCTTCTCAATTAATTAACAAAGAAGCAAGGTCTGTGAACACACAACTCATGTAAACACAAACAAAAAAATCACCCCCCGGCGTTCACCAAGACACCAACCAAAACCATAAATAAATAAACCAAGAGTCGTACGGGGTGTGGAGGGTGAGTTGAACAGGGGTTGTGCGCCAAGCCCTCCTGCTCGGCTCCAGCCGGTAGACAAGTCTTGTCATCAACAGAGTAGATGGATCGGACCTCGGGGCCGATGTGACCAAGCGCTGGTAGCGTGGTTTGACCTCTCACCCATGGTCTCACAGTGTGCCGGCAGTCGCCGAGCAGTGTCGCTCACACAAGCCGCAGCACAAGTGACTGAGGGCCAGTGAGGGCGAGCCCATCGCTGTCACAGCTGTGACAGCCGCACAGTAGGCTGTGTCAGCTGTGCAGAGTGTGTGAGCAGCAGAGGAGCTGCTCTCCAGGCTTCTGTCGCAAAGAGCTGCATGCCACCGAAAGCGCTGTCGAGGTTCGCCGAGCGCGGCGCAGGTTGGAGGAAGCCGTCACCGACGAGCGCGTTGGACTTTTCACTCCGGACAAAGACGGGTACACGCACACAAGCCGCGGTCGTGTACCCGTCTTAGCGGCGAGGCGCGGGACCGTCTGTGGCGAAGTGGGTCGCGTCCTCCGATTTTGTTGAACCCAGCATCCACACCCTTTACGGATAGAAACCCAAGACACAGCCACGTGGCATAGGTGAGAGCAGGAGGACAAAGGAGGTCAGCACAACTTCAAGGACGCACGAGCGAAATAAAACGGACACCTCTCTCTACTGTGAGATGGATCTCGGTGCAGGGTTCTTTGTGCTTGTGGGTGTGGACTGTGGTCGGCGACTATACGTGGCTGGGTCCACAGCGATTGTAGGAAATTTGGGGGACCAAATGACGGTCGCGGCCTTCCGACTCGCGCCTCCGCCTCACTGGCACTATTGTAGCCCTGGCCGGTGCGCGTGCAGAGTTGAAGTTCCGGAGTGAAAAGTCGAACGCGTTCTCTCACGGTGACCAAAAAATGTCCACCTCAGAGGCACCTCCGGAGGCAGGCCGCCGCACGCCGGCGACACAGCTCCAGCTGTCGAACTGACCCGCAGCTCCTCTCAGAGCGGGAACTGTGACGAAAGTTGACTGAGGCGGTTGTCAGGAACCACCATACGGATCACATGGTGGCTCTCTCATGACGGGAGACCGCCCGACCACTCCTGGGTGGCACTGCCACCGGTGTCGCTCGACGTCCTGTCGACAGCGTGGTGACAGCGACACAGACCATGTGGGACGCGTCGAGTATCGACCTCTACTGCTTACCCAGTCTTCGAGTGTATCCTGCCTGTGGTCCCACACCCACTGGTGTCCGTCTCAGAGACCGCAGGAGGTCATGAGGGTCGATGGGAGTGCCAACCCCACAATGCCTAAAGACCCAGCCCAGTAGCCCGCGGGGTCTCTCCGCCCCAAAACCATTTTTTAAGCGGCTTACACGTTTGTACTTATAAGCGGGGGGGCCGTGACGGACGGGCGGTCTAGCAGACGGTGGCTCTAGCATCTACACGTATCTCAATCTAGAGAGTAGAGAGTTAGACGCAAGACGGCCGTTGGGTCTTGGGTGTCCGTCCGGATCGACCCGCGTTGCGCGTTGCGTGTCTGGTCAGTTACTCGACGGGATACCGCGGTGCACAGAGAGTGTGTAGGGACATACGTACACGTGTCTTGTCTCTCGGGGCGGACCTCACTTATCTACAGTGGCCTTCACGACGGCAAGGTATGCGATGTTTTGCGAGGTGCCACCTTGCCAGGGCGTGGAGTCCTGGTTCGGCGAGACCTCCACTGCCGAGGGAGGCTTGAAGCCGCCCGCGTAGTGAAAGTAGGAGCCGACGATGTGCACGTGCTCCAGGTCGTTTGTGCGCAGCCAGATGTTGACCGCCTTGGTGGGGAAGCAGCGGTTCGAGAGGGCAAACATCGCTGCGCCGCCCGGCCTGAGCACGCGCCCGACCTCCTTGCAGATCTCGAGCGGCTGAGTGAGGTAGTCGATGCTCACGACGTTGGTCACCACGTCGAAGGAGTTGTCCTCGAACGGAAGCCGCGGGTCAACGTTGAGGTCCTTGACGACGTACTCCGTGACCTGGCCGTTCCTCGCAAGCTCCTCCTCGTTCATGCCCAGCGCGACGCGGCGGCCGGAGGACTCCGCCACGTCGGCCGGGAAGTGGGAGACGTGCGACGCGCAGATGTCGAGGATATCTGGCGCCTCCCACTCGCGAAAGGCGGTCGAGTAGTGCTCGGTCAGGGCCGCCACCGCAGCCTCGTCGACGTGGAAGCAGAAGCGAGGCAGGTCGTAGAAGCGCGTGTCGGTGCTCTCGTCCTGCCGCGCAAAGTCCGCAGCCTCGAACGGAAATTCCGCCGTCCAGTCCGGCCGGGCGAGCACCTCGGCGACGCTCTGCGGCGCGACACAGAGCGAGGTGAGGCGGCGGCAGCGAGGGCGCGGGGCTGCTTGGAAGAGGATACCTTTGCGGAAGCTGGAAAGCCGGGCAGGGTGGGCTTCATGAACTGCGAGAAGAGGTTGAGGCCAGACGCGCACGCGACCAGGGCTGAGAGGCAGAGCGAGCGCATATACACACGGATGTTGCACCGCACCGAAGCCCAAGCGTGCAGTGTCATCAGGCAGTGTCGCGCAACGGTGCCAGGGTTCCGGCTCCTCTGGGGGTCTGCTTCGCCCTTTCCCTGCGAACGCGCACCCCCGGGGGCTAGGGCTCTCTAGCCCGTAACCCGATGCCGATCATCCGGCCCGCTGGGTGCGCTTCTCAGCTCCCCGGCCCTGGATGTGAGGTTAATGACTGCACTCCAAGTGCTGGCCCCTATGCAATAGGTAGGTAGGTCCGGTTTTGACCGCCCCAGAGGGCCCCGCAATAGGTAGGTAGGTGGTGGTGGTGGGGTGGGGGTGGGGGTGGAGGGGGGGGGTTAAAAAAAACCGCTTCGCTCGCGCGGGAGACGGCTAGCCGCGAACGGGCCATGCCAGACGAGTCGCCTGCGGCTGGGACGCCAGCCGAGACGGGTGCGGCGGCGGCGCCCGCGGAGCCTATTCACAGAAGAATTTTTCGCTTCGCTGCGCGGCCCGAGGGCCCCGCAATAGGTAGGTAGGTGGGGCACGGAGCCTGCAGGGAGCCAGGGAGCCTGGCGGTTGGCGCCCGCAATACCAATAGGTACTCGAGTAGGTAGGTAGGGCGTTTTGGCGCGACTCAGTGTGGACAGACCCCCTATCTGGGTAGGAGCCGGAACCCAGTGTCGCCCTATGCTAGCGGAAAGAATTTTAGAACAAAACTCCCTCGGAAAGAATCCGAGGCGGGTCTCTCTCTCTCACAACGGTGTATCCCTCCCTTGGGTTGTCTGCTCCGCTTCTTTCTTTCTTTGACGCGGCCGGTGCTCGTGGAAACATTGGGCGGCATTGCGCCGCCCACCACCCTGCCCTCGTCACACACCGTCGCCGTCCCTGCCCTCGTCACACACCGTGTCCAGTGTAGCGTGTGCGCCCCCTATGGGTGTGATTGAGGAGTCTCCCAACTGGCGCTGGAGTCCCCCTTCGGATGCATCGTGACATCTGACAACTGACTGAATTTCCACTGGTTCGTCCTCCTCTGAGTCATCTTCCCCGTCCTCCTTCCGCTCAGCTCTTCGCTCGGTACGTTCGGTGTGACTCACCCTCCATGCCGTGAACAGGCTCGCTCGAGTTAGCGGTGTGAGCACCCCGCGGTTTTTTCTTGCGCACTCGAATTCTTTCGTGGAGTCAGACGAGTGCCTGACTGAAGGCCTCGCGATGGCCCAGGCAGACGACGGCCTGAGTGCCGTGCTCGCCGAGGAGGAGCCCGCGTCAGACTTGTTCGAGGAGGAGTTCGAGGAGGACGACGACGAGGAGGACGAGAATTCGCGCCACCGCCGCCACAGGGATCGCGAAGCGGTCGCCTCGGAGAACGGAGGCACCCCGGCGCAATCTCCGGCCACCCCGGCTGCCGCGCCGACCGCCGCGCCGGTCGAGGGCAGCGGCTCCGGCGCCACCAGCACCAGTGCCGCCGGCGTCGGCGCCGCCAGCGCCGCCGGCGCGGCGGGTAAGACGCTGTGCTTGCGCTCGCTCCCTCCCGACTTTTCGCCGCGGGAGCTGCGCTGCCTCGTCGGGCTGCTTCCCGGCTTCGAGGACTGTCACCTGGTCGGCCGCGACGGGATCGGCTTCGTGCGCTTCGCCAGCGCCGACGAGGCGAAGGCCGCCTGCTCACTGCTCTCTGCCTTTGTTGTCGATCCGGCAGCAGAGCCGCCCCGGCCGCTGATGGCGGAGGTGGCGAGGCGGGAGCTGGAGAGCCGCGTGCCTCGGCCGCGTCAGCCGCGGAACGGCAGGCCGCCCGTGCCTGCGGCTCCTCTCCTTCCTCACGCGGGCCTCGCGGGTGTGTGAGCTCACCCGCACTGCGCCTCGCACTCCCATCCCCCAGTGCGTCCGAGGGGGAGACGCGAGGGGCCGCCTGTCCCTCGCCCTACCAGTGTGAGGAGACGCTCACCCTGCCCTTGCCTAGTGCCTCGCAGGCAGACCAACCCCCCTCGACCGCCCGCTCTACTACGGCCGGCCGGGCCCAGGGCAAGGGCAAGACTACCAGCGAGCTCGCTTCGCCCCGCCGCCCTACCCGCACCACCACCCGGCCGGCCTGCACGCGCCGCTCCACGCCTCCGCCCCAAACGGCGCCTTGCCCTCGCGCAGAGGGGAGCCGTCGGCGAGCCCTCCCACGACCCTTCTCGCCCCCTTCCGCAGGCTTCCCGCCCCCCGACCGAAAGAGACCGCGGCATGACGAGTCGCTCCCGGACGGGAACAGAGGCGGCCTCTCCCCAAGCCCAACCCCCCCCAACCCAACCACACACGCACTCACCACACACTCACCCCTCTCACCAAGCCCAACCCCCCCCAACCCAACCACACACGCACTCACCACACACTCACCCCTCTCACCAAGCCCAACCCCCCCAACCCAACCACACACGCACCACAGCCCTCAGCGCCCGCCCGCCTCCCGCAGGCTCGCGAGACACGCTCTGCATCCGCGGCTTCGACCCGGCCGCAGGCGGCGGCTGGGTGAGGGAGCTGCTTCAGCGGAGCTGCGTCGGCGCCGCCACCCTCAGTCGACCCTCTCTTTCCCCCGCAAGGACACGCCGGTGACGTGTCCGCGCCACCCCCGGCAGGCCTCGGCTCGGTCAACTTTGTCTCTGCGGGGGGCGGGCACGCGAGGGCAGGCGTCGCCTTCGCTCTCTTCCGCTCGCCGGCCGACGCCGCGCGCGCCATCCCCTTCCTCCGCTCCCAGGCGACAAGACACTTCCCAGACACTTCCCAGACACTTCTCAGACACAGCCCAGGCGACAAGAGACTTCCCAGACACGGCCCAGACACTTCCCAGACACGGACTGGACACTTCCTCCCCCTCCTACGCCCACCCGAGCCGAGTCCTCTCGGTAGCGTGCCGCCGATGCCGCCGCATCTGCCCCCGCCGCGCAGGCTGCGCCCGGCGGCCTCGGCCCTCTGCAGGTCCAGCTCTCCCGCCGCTCGAGTCTGCCCCTTTATCATCAGAAACCCACATCATGCCACTTCAGGTCGAGTTCGCCCGCCGCTCGATGCAGCCCGGCCCCGGAGGAGGAGGAGGAGGAGGAGGAGGAGGAGGAGGAGGAGGCGCAGGCCCGCCGCCGACCCTCGCCGCGCCGCCTCGCGTCGCGTTCAGCGGCGGGCCGGGGCACCGCCGGGCCAGCGGGCCGTACTGAGGACCCCGCCCGGCCCTCTCGGCGTCGGCGGATCGATCCCCTCGACTGCGCGCGAAGAGCCGCGGGCGATGGGCGGGAAACGCGACCCGTCTCTCTCGTCCCTCCGCGCATGGTATGTACGGGAGAGATCTCACGCTTTCTCACAGAAGTCAGAGCGACGTCTCATGCAGGATCTCACATCAGCTATACCGCGCTGACGGGCACCGCGACGGCTTTACCACATCCACAATTTTGACATCTAGAGCCGTACACTCATCAGATCGGTCATCAGCTCTCTAGTGCATCTTACTGGCGTTAGCCGTTACTCGTCTATAAGAATAACGTAAAGTATCGTCCTTCCAAAATCCTGCTCGTGCAGGTGGGGACCCTGTCCTCCTCCCCCATCCCTCGTCTGGGTTTGTCTGTTTTCTTTCTTTCTTTCTGAGCCCGCCCCCTAGTAGCGGAGGAACTTAAAGCCGTAGCTAAACTCTGCGTTGGCGGCTTGGCGCTGACTTGTGGTGCATGGTAAACAAACTCAAAAAATATGTAGACACTGTACTCTGCCATCCCCGCACGAATGCCACCGCGCCGCGTCACGAGCCGCCTGCATCGTCGCCCCCCTCGCCGTCGGCCTTGTTGAAGAAGTCGTCAGCACGCGTCTCCCACACAGGCCGGTGCGAGCCACGCCCTGTCGCGTCGGGCTTTGCGACGTTGACCTTCAGGACGCGCCCAAACAGCTCCGCGCCGTCCATGTTGTCCATCGCGTCCGCCGCGTCTGTTCGCTCATCAAACTGCACAAAGGCGAAGCCGCGGTGCTTCTGTGTGCTCGAGTCCACGGGAAGGTTGACATCCAGCAGCTCGCCAAAGGGCACGAACGCGGCGCGGATGATGTCCGACGTCACGCTCTCCTCGAGGCCACCTGCGCGGCAGGGCGGGCGAGGGCGGGTGGCCGGTGGCGACGGAGACAGCTGCGCCGCGCGCGTGCTGTGTGTTGGGTCGCCGGCGGCTAGGCGCGCGAGTGACGCCGCGGCGGCGCACCGACGTACAGCGTGCGCTTATCGTTGACTTTGCCCTCCATGCCCGGCCAGCAGAAGTAGCCAGGCCGGCGACCCACTCGCCCACCGCCACGAGGAGAAAAATCTCGCCACCCGCCGGCACGGGACTACACCTATTTTGACCGTTCACAACCTGGCCCAGGCGGCCGATTTTGACCTTGACGGCACGCTCGACCTCTTCATCCTCTGCCGGTATACGGGCGTCTTTCTGACACAGGAGGAGGATGGCAGCTGGGTCCGGATGCCGGGCGACTATGGGGAGCTCAACGACCCGGCGCGGAAGGAGGAGGATGACGGCTGGCTCGAGACGTGCTGCGCCGACTACGAGAATTGCTATGCCACGAACGAGATTGCAGCCTACCACCTCGTTGACTTGTGCCTCGCATTGAACGGGCGAAATGCGGGAAACAGGTGGTATGGCGTGACGGCAGTCGACCTCAACAACGACGGCTTCGTCGACCTCATGCCATGCAACACGATCTGCCGGGCCTTTCTCAACGCAGGACATACTCGCAACTCGTACATCGCCTTCAGGCTCGCCGGCACTGCGAGCAACGAGTACGGCATCGGCGCGACGGTGCTCCTGAGCTGGCGCCCCCAGCCCGGCGCCGCCGCGCAGCTGCAGCTGCGCGAGCTTAACTCGGCATCGAGCGGGAGCAACTTGTTCAGCAGCGAAGATCACCGGCTCGTGTTTGGACTCGGCCCCTCGGGCGTGCCGCTGCGCGTAGAGGTCCACCGGCTCGCGTCTACTGGTCGTGTGGGCGCGAGTGGTGACCAGTTGGCCTGCCCTCAGGTCCGCTGGCCCTCGGGCAGAGTTGACATCCTCGACGACGAAGCAGAGCTGCTCGCGCGTGCAAACTCGATGGACGACAGCGTGATCCGGCTCGAGGAGTTGCCACCGTCCCCGCCGCCGCCGCCGCCGCAACTCCCGCCCTCGCCACCGCCGCCCTCTGGGCTGCCGCCGATGTCGCCCCCGCCTCCAGCCCAGCCGCCACTCAGACCCTCGCTCTTGCCGCCGCCGAGTCCGCCGCTGCCGCGTCCACAGCCACCATCGCCGGCGCCGCCGCCACCGCCGCCAGCCTCTTGCATGGCGTTCTGCGCCCGCAAGACCCAACCCTGGCCGGATCGGTGCAAGTGGCCCCGCTGCGCCGGCTGCACGCCGTGCCGCGAGGGCACTTGAGCACTTGAGCACTGGAGATAGGGTCGATACCGCATGGTACGGAAGCAGTGTCGCCCCCCCTCTCCATCGTCTCACTGAGACGTCGGCGGTGATTATTTGTCGGTAATGCAAATGTAGCTCTAGCCGCTTGTGCCCACAAAAAAGAGCAGTATACCTACGACCTCGGTCGGGCTCAGAGACTTAGCACCCCGCCTTGCGAGCCGATCTGCTAGCTCAGCTTTTTGCAGCGATGCGTTGTGTAAGAGCCACGTGCTCGAGTACTCCGAGACCGACAGAGTGCGGGGCACCACCACCAGTGCTGTTCACACAGGTTGAGGGCCCAACTTCAGAATCGTGCTTTTGGGTGAGGTCGAAGAGGGCGGGGTGTTCTTTTGGGCGGGGTTGGGGGAGCGTGCGCTTGTGTTCTTTGGGTGAGGTTGTCGGGGTGAGGTTAGGTTGTCGGTCCTCACCCGAGGAAGCTTAGATTATTCAGTGTATGTAGCTCTTACGAACATACCCGTAGGTGAACTGCTGACAGGGCTTGCGTTATTTATTTATTGGTGACTGACGCTAGCTTGCCTTTCGATTCGTTTGTTCGATGTATGTGAGGGTGGTCCCTGGATTTTATTCCTTTTCTTGGTCGCTGTGACTTCCTCAAGTAAGTGGCTGGTTGCTTGTGTGGGGAGGGTGGGGGTGGCGGGTGGGGGCTGCGGTGATTCCGCGGAGTCGGCTGCAGCTGGTCGGCTGGGCGGCGAGTTGTCACTGCCACCTGTGGCTCCGCCAGGGACTGCACGGCCATCTGTTGCTAACACGCGACAAATGATGTGTGTCATCGCCGCCACGCTGAGCATTGCCGTACCTCACCACTCGCTGGCGCCGGCATCCGTTCGTCACCGCTCGCCGGCACCGCGGCTCTCCGACCCGCCTTCCGCTCCGCTCGGCCACGTTTTTGTGCTTCACGCAGATTTGCGATCGCTCCTCACGGACGCCACGCTGTATCCCACAACCGATCCAGTCGATAGCGGGTGGTTCCCAAACGCTCAGCGTCAGAACGACCCGCCGCCGCTCCCGCCCTTCACGTCGAGGCAGCGGGTGCACCAGCTTCCGGGCACGCCGGCTGGCGCACCTCTAGTTTTCCTCGCCAACGTCGACGGCCGCCTCGAGCCGCAGCGCGACTGCGAGCCTTTCACCGGCCGCCCGCCGCTTGACTGGTTTGTCGACGCTGCCCGCCAGTTCCTGCAGCTGGCCGCGGCTTCGGTCGGCGAGGAGGGCACGCGTGCTCGCTGCCGCCGCGCACAGCCGTTGCTGGCGCTGCCGGTGGTGGGAACGGGCAATGGCGGCGCACGGACAGCCTCAGGGAGGATGATCTCTCGCCTGCTTGAGGTGCTGTACGACTTCACCGCGGCACGAAAACCGACGACGCGTCGTCGAGGGGGCGAGTGAGTCGCTGCCAACATGACGATGGTGTCCAGGTAGGTGCACGACATCGACGTCGCGCTCGTCGTCAAAGGCGAGCGGCGCTTCTCGGCGGCGCAGGCCATCCCGGCGCGCGGGTCTTACTGCCAACGACACATTGATCCGATTCTTACTCTCTCTGCGGCACAAGGCGCTCCGCCGGCAGATGGCGCCGGCGTGGGAGGACACCTTGGGCGCGCGGCTTTGCGGCGCGGCGCTCGAGCTGGCGCAGCGGGCAACAGCCGACGAGCTGACCCTATTTATCGGCGCGGGTGTGTCGGTGGGCGCTGGCTTGCCGGCGTGGCAGGAGCTCCTCACGTCGCTCGCCGAGCGGGACGACGTGCCGCTCGGGCCTGGGGAGGTGCTGCAGCTCAAGAGGCTGGACCTGCCCGACCAGGCGTGTGAACTAGCGCCAGTCCTGCACCTCCCACCTCGGCTCATCTCGGCGAATCTCGACCTGCGCCAGGCATCGGTCCTCTGCTCGCGCCTCGGCGCCGCAGAGCTCTCTTCGGGCAGGCGGCGCAGCCGAGGCGCGGACGTAGCTGCACTCCTAGCAGAAGCAGCACCAGCCCCTCCCCACGCCGTCTCGCCTTACCGCCGCTCTCTCCTCCAGGCGCACCCGCGCTCTCCACTGGCGCCGCCGGGCCGGCGATGAAGGCGGGCGAGGCGGCGCTGCAGCGGCCCCCGCCGCCGAGGGGCTCTCCGCGAGCGAGTGGAGGCCTCCCCGACCCTTCTCGGAACCTTCGCGTAGGCTCGTCGCCGAGGAGCTCTCCGCCGAGCTCCACTCCCTCGCCCACGGGCTGCTCGCAGGCCTGCGCCTCGCCAGGTCGCCCCACCGCCACTTCCAACGAGGTCATCGCTCACTCACTCCTTGCGGCTAGGCCTGCCTGTCGAGGCGGTGGTGACCACAAACTACGACGAGCTCTTCGAGGCGGCTTGGCGCGGCGCCGCCTCCGACTTCAAGGTCCTTCTCCAAGAGGCTGTGTCCTGGCCGTGTCCCGAGACATGTCCGAGACGTGTCCGAGACATGCCCCGCAGGTGCTGCCCTACGAGGCGGACGCGCGCTCCCGCTTCGTGCTCAAGCTGCACGGCGACTTGCGCCGGCCGCAGGATATCGTGCTCACGCGCGCGCAGCTGAGCGGCGCGAGAGAGCAGCGCGCCGCGCTGTCGGGGGTCGTGCAGGGCCCGCTGATGACGAAGCACCTCTGCTCTGCTTCAGCACCTCTAGATACCCCACAGGTCGTGCAGGGCCTGCTGATGACGAAGCACCTCTGCTTCGTCGGCTTCTCGCTGCAGGACCCGAACTTCTCCGAGGTTGCCCGAGACCGAGACTAGGTTACGCGAGAGCACAGAGACGGTCCGCGCCATCCCTTCTCTGAACCGTCCTGCAGGTTGCAGAGACCGTCCGCGCCACTCTCACGGGCGACTCGAGCACCGCGTCGCGCAACCTCTTTGGTTCGCTCCTCTCGCTCCACAACCGGCCCCTTCCCGGGCTGCGGCAGTCACTGCCAATGACTAGCCGCCAAGACCTGATGAGGAGTGACTAGGCCCTTCCTCGCCGAGCTGTGGCCCGACGTGCAGCAGGTGAGGGCATGGCCATGGTAAGGGCATGGCCGTTGGAGACGCCCGCCCCCTCCCGATGCTGGTGTATGGTAGTAGTAGTTACTGTCGGGTGGAGAGGCGCACTTCGCTCTTCCTAGGTCCCGATGGACATGGCCGATGCCTCCGGACCCGACCGGCTCTCCAGCACGACATGCGCCGAACTCATGGAACCGTCCCTCAAAACCTTCTGGGACCCTCTCTGTAGGCTCTCCAGCGCGCAGTGTGCCCGCCGGCTCGACATTTTTCTTGACAAGGTCTCCCTCGACGCGTCGACTCCGACACGCCACCTCCTCGACCCGAACTTTTCGGGCGTCTTCGACAAGCAGCAGCGCGAGCTGCGCGAGGCGAGATCTGCCGAGATCTGTGCCGAGGTGAGGACCTCCACAACTCGTCGACGCGTGATTCCGTGACGTGCGACTGGGGTGCAGGCGTTGCTGCTCTTCGAGGCGGAGCTCGCCAGCCGGCCCGACGCGCGCGCGGCAGCCGGCTTCGAGGCCGTCTCGGCGCTGCTGCGCGGGTTGGGCTTGCCGGCTGACTCGCCCGCACTGGCGGAACCAGACGTGCTGCAGCCGGACGAGGAAGGGGGGAATGGCTAACTCCCGGTATAGTAGGTAACTGTAGCAGCAGGCACACAGCGTGTGTGTTGACACCCAATACATCGACGACGTGTGCAAAAACACAGACCGTCCACCCCCCCGCCCCTGGGAATGGCTCCGCCGCATCCCCGTCGCGTCCTCATTCTCAACGCGCCCTGCAACATACCTCATACGGCTTTTTGCCTTTGGAGACGTGCTCTCTTCGCCTACATAATGGCTACAAGCTGCAAACAACCCCTTGCGAGGGGCGGAATGGATGCGGTCATCGTGACAACATACGCCACTCAAGCCACTCAGAGCCTCGCCCTCGATGTGCACGCCTTCAAGGGCTTCGACCCTGCAGACCCTCCCGCTCGAGGTGCGGGCGCGCCGGCTGGGCGCCAGGAGCGGGCCGGAGTTCGCAGCGCGCACCGAGAATGAGCTGCAGGCGCTTCGCCAAGCTGGAGCTGCCGGAGAGCGTGCTGCAGCTGTGCCGAAACCGGCCCTTCGACATCGCAATCCAAGCTCCGATCATGTACGACCACGACGTGAACTGGGAGGATTTCAGCGCCTTCGTCACATGCGCCTCAACGGACGGCGCCGCAGACCCAGGCCCCACAGTCCGCGCCCCACGTGGGCGCGCACAAGCCACAACAATCAACACAATCAATGCAACACAATCAACACATCGCACACGCACGACGTCGACGTAAAGCTAGGAGACGCAGAGGGCGGCATGCTGTATGATACATACAGGACAGCCTCAGTCGACATGTGTGAGATTCGTACACAGACATGATAGCCGTGAGTGCTTCAAAAGCCGAGCACGTTGGCCATCAGCGCCGGGTCCGAGTTAGCGAAGGACTTCTTGGAGCTCTGGTCTCGCTCCTTCTCGGCCTGATTCCCGTGAGAGTGGTTCGCAGGTTTCGCGGCCGCCGGCGTGATCAGCACCGCTTCGACTCCGTCACCTCGACTCGCAGGTGGCTTTCGTGTGGGCGTGCCAAAGTCGGTCGGCGGCCGGCGCAAGAGGGTCGGGCTCTCCGAGCGTGGCGACGGCGGCAGCGACGTGGGAGGCGAGAACGGAAGCCACGCCTCTTCGCCTGCTGAAGCGCGAGTGAACCCTCGCGCTCTCGCCGCAGCGACCTCGATCGCTGCGACCCGGCTTGCCGGCGAGCCGGCCTCCGCGTTGCGGTTCGCGGGGAGAGTCTCCGCGGTGAATGAAGCAGCGGGCGCAACTGATGACATGAAGCGATGGTCAAACAGTGGGGCCGTCCGCCCCCTATAAAAACCGCGGCACCGGGACACAAGTGGATTCTCTCTCGAGGTCTCGAGGTCACGGTGTCCCGCAGCGGTCATTCCAAAGGGACACTCATGAACGGGGTTATTCTCTCCCCCCCCTGCTGAAACCACAAAATCCGCGACAGAGAACACAAAATATCAATAGGCTGGTACCACAAGGGTGTCGAGGGGTGTTCCGTGGCAGCGCCTAGCGAGTTCATCTCGCCAGATGGCGCAGCAGAATCTCGTGGCACGCCGCGTGGCCCGCGTGGGGCGCGCACGCCACCGAAGCGCCGAGGCAGAGCTCCAGCGGCGTGCGGCCGCAGCCGTCCGGCGCGGCTGGCGCGGCGCCCGCCGCGAGCAGCATCCGCGCGCTGGCGGCCTCGCCGCGCGCGGCCGCCAGGTGGAGGGGGGCGCTGCCGTCCGCCCCGCCGATGGCGGACACGTCGGCGGAGGCGGCGATGAGCGTCGCGAGGAGGTCGGTCGCGCCGAGGGCGGCGGCGTGGTGGAGCAGCGTCTGTCCGTCAGCCGCGGCGGCGCGCGCGTCGCACCGGTGGCTGAGGCAGAGTCCCGCGGCCTGCAGCAGCATCGGCGGTGAGTGGCCGCCGCCCCCTCCGCCTCCGCCTCCGCCTCCGGCCGTCCCCTCCGCGAAGAGCGGCGCCGGCCGGGCCGACTGCAGTGCGAGCAGCGCCGGAGTGCACCCGTCCGCGTCCCGCGCGTCGAGCGCCTCTTTCCCGCCGTCGGCCGCCAACAAATGAGCCATCACGGCGATCGCACCGGCCTCCGCCGCGGCGTGCAGCGGCGTGCGGCCGCGGCCGTCGCGCGCGGTCGGACTCGCGCGCGCGTCGAGCAGCCGCGCCGCGCACGAGGCGAGCCCTCGCGCCGCGCAGCAGTGCAGCGCCGTCCTGCCGAGAGGCCCGGCCGCGCTCACGTCCGACAGCGGCACCAGCGCCAGTGCGGCGTCGACGTGGCACGCCTCGAGCGCAGCCATGAGCGGCGTGCGCCCGTGCGCGTCGGCGAAGCGCGAATCCATCCCGTGCGCCAGCAGCAAGACGAGGCAGTCGGTCGAGCCCCTCTCCGCAGACTGGTGCAGCGCCGACCAAGCGTCGCCGCCCGCGGCGTCTCCGCCTCCCGAGGCAGCTGGCTCGTTATCGCCGCCGGCACTGATCGCATCACCACTGCCGCCGCCGCTGCCACCGCCGCCGTCGCCGCCAGCACCACCTCTACCGCCGCCGCCGCCGCCGCCGCCGCCGCCGCCGCCGCCGCCCGCCGTTGCAATCACCACCGCCCTCGCCGCCTCGACACCGCCGCCATAGTCGGGCAGCGGCGCCGGTGCCGGTGTGGCAGCTGCCGCCGGTGCGGCGAGCTGGAGGGAGCCCGGCGAGCAGCGCTGGAGGAGCAGCGAGAGAGCCTTCGAGTCGTCCACGCGCACCGCCTCCTCGACCCTCCGGCGCAGCACAGAGGGCGCGGCGTCGGCGACGGCCAGCTCGGCGCGGCGCTGCTCGCGCGCAAGCCAGGTGGAGATCGCGGGGCGCGGCTCCGCCTCCAGGCCACGCTCGTAGTGCCAGAACGCGCGCCCAAAGTCGGAGAGCAGGTAGAGGGCCCGCCCGCGCGCAAAGTGCGCCTTGGCGTGGCCGGGCTCGAGCCGCAAGCACGACGCGGCGTCGTGCGCCGCCTAGGAAAGGGCGCCAAGGACGTGTGATGGACGCGGGACGGCCCCTCCCAAGCGCGGGACGGCCCCTCCCAAGCGCGAGAGTGTCCTCAGCGTGGAGTCCGAGCGCCAGCAAGCGCGAGGCGCGGGCGTAGTAGGCCGCCGCGTCGTCCGCGCTGCTCCGCACGGCGTCGGACAGGGCCGTCAGCGACTTGGCTTCGGCGGCGGCGGACGCGCCCGCGCCGCCGTCGCCCGCGCGCGCCGCCGCCTCGAACAGGAGGCAGACGCCCTCCGCGCCGTCGGCCGCGCCGCTGCCGCACTCCGCCTCCGCCTCGTCGGCGTCGGCGAGGTGCCACTCCGAGTCGCTCCGCTGCAGCGTCGGCCCGGCGGCAGCACCCTCCGCCGCCTCGCCCTCTGCAGGCGGCGCGCCGGGCATCCGACCAAGCAGCCGCACGCGCACCGCCCACAGCGCATCCTCCCACAGTAGCCTGCCGCCTTCGGTGCCGCCACCGCAGCCCGTGGCGGCGAGCGTGCGCGCATCAAACAGCGCGGGCGGCGGCGGCGGCGGCGGGAGCGCGCTCAGGATGGGCGCGACGGCGGCGGCCGCCTCTCTCCAAGCCGCCTCGCCCACCCTCGCCTGAATGCCGGCGGGCACCCAAGCCCACACGCGCTGCGAGCCGCTGCGGCGGCCACCCGGCTCGGTGGGCAATGCGCGCGCTCCACCTGGCGGCGCCGCGGACTCGCCCGTCTCGAGGAGGATCCGCGTGTCCGTCTCGTCGAGCAGCGCCACGCCCCACGCGTCGAGGCTCGACTCGGCGGAGCCGTCCATCTCGCGCAACAAGCTGCCGCCCCAGAGCTGGGCGGCCGCCGCCGCGGCCTCCGCCTCCGACGCAGGCGGCGGCGCTGCCGCCGCCTCGGCGGCGCGCGGCTCGGGTGGTCGCCGCCGGGCGCTCGCGGGGCTCTGCTGATCGCTGCCGGCCGCGGCCGCATCGCCCCGGCTCGCCTCGAGCGCGGCGCGAGCCGCTGCCACCGCCGCGACACCGCCGTTGGCCCAGCGTGCCTCCCCGTCGGCTGGCCGCAAGCGGACGGCCGTCACGACCTGCTCCACCGCTCCGCCCCCGCCGCCCGCGCCGCCCGCGCCGCCCGCGCCGCCCGCGCCCTTCGCGCCTCGCGCGTCAGTGAGAGGCGACGTGGCGGCAGCAGCGGAGGGCGCGGCGGCGCACCCCGCGGCAGCGGCCACCTCGGACGCCACCGCCCGGACCTCGGAGACCGCCTCGGCAACCTCGGACGCCGCTGCGGCGAGCTCTGCCGTGGCGACAGAGGCGGTGACGGAGGCGGCAGACGCGACGGCGGCGACCGCGGCGGCGGCAAACGCCCGAGCGCCAGCGCTGGCGTTGTTTGGAGCGTCGCCGCCTCCTCCTGGCGGAGCCGCGGGCTGCTGCTGCTGACGCGGCGGCCGCGGCGATCCCACGCCACAGAGGTCCTCCGCATCGGTGCGCCCGCGTGCTGCCTCCTTGGCCTTCGCCTCGCCAATCCCGCCGGCCGAGTCGCCGCCGTCCGTGCGGCGAGCCGTGGCGCCGCTCGCACCGCCGCCTGCGCCGCCCGCGCCCGCGCCCGCGCCAGCGCCAGCGCCAGCGCCACCGCCACCGCCGGCCTTGCCACGTGCGCCGGTGCTCGCAGCGGCTCTGCCGGCAGATGGCGTAGAGTCGCGCCGGAAGCGGATCGCGAGACCGCGCAGCTCGACGCGGCGGCGGCGCGGCGGCGCGTCGTCCGAGACAAAGCCGGGCCTAGACGGGGGCGGCGCAGTGAGGGCCGCGCCCTCTCTGTGCGTGCTGCTTGCGTATTGTGTGTGCGCTGCGTGCGCTGCGTGCGTGCGTGCGTGCGTGCATGTGCGTGTGCGGCCGGTGTGCGTGTGCTTCGCGCGCCTCCAGTGTGCGTCCGCAGGGTGGGACGAGGCGCGCAGCACGTGGAGAGAGAGCGTCCCGGCGCCGGAGCCGCCCGCGGCAAGGTGCGCGCACCCGCCGGGCGCCCCGCCGAGCGGCGGCGAGGGCAGCCGTGTCTCGAGCGCCAGCAGTGCGCCGTCCACCTCAATGGCGATGTTGCTGAGCACAAGCGCAGCGATCCGCTCAAAGTAGCGGCTGAGGGTCCCTCCGCCACCCGTGCTGCCGCCACCCGTGCTGCCGCCGCCGCCGGCGGCGGCGCCACAGGCGGTGCCGCCGCCGCAGTCGCCGCCGCTGCTCGAACTGAACTCCGCACCCTGCATGGCTTCGTTGGCGGCGGCGGCAGTGGCAGTGGCCCTCTCGCCGGCGTCGGCTGGCTGCGGAGAGTCGTCCGACCGCTGCACTCGCAGCTCGAGGCCCTCAATCTTGATCATGACGGGGACCGACCGGAGCGCGTGCCAAGGCACGATCAACCGAATCCGACGCACTCGACCCGCCACCACTCTGAGCGCAAGCGAGGCCAGCGCATCGGGCCGCACGCTAACGCCGTCGAGTACGCCTTCGCCCTCCCAAATGGAGAAGGAGATGCCGTCGCGAGGCACGGCGACAAACTGGCCCAGGCTGCGGCTGAGTATGTCGTGCACATACTCCTCGAGCCCGAACATCGCAGCGCAAGAGGGCAGCCGATCCGGCCGCTAGAATTTTAGGAGTGGTTTTTTCTTTTTAACATCGTTTTTTCTTTCGAGAGCCACATTTCGGGACAGTAGTCAGTACGAGCGGGCCGATGTGAGTTGAGTGACATTCATTCCACATTCGGAACAGGCGAAAGAGACATAAGTGTGTATATATGTACGATATACGGCGGGCGGGGCAGGGGGCGGGGACGGGGTACGTCGGGGATTTGAGTTCCTCGGGGCTGGCCGGCCGACCTCGTTCGCGCTTCAGAGTGCTGGGGCCCGCTCGCCACGCTCTTCGGGTCACGAGCTCTCACGGGTCTCCCCCGTACCTCCACCCGACCCACCGCCCACGCCGCCGCCGCCCGCCCCGCCGTCACCCTCCTCGGCCGACCACGACGCCCTCGCCAACGGCGCATCCTCGCCGAAGGAGCCGCGCACCCGCTCGAGCGCGCGGCGGGAGAGGGGCGAGACCCACGCGCAGGTGGACGGCGGCGCAGCAGCCTCAGTCGTCGTCGAGGCCGCACAGAAGCGCTGGAAGGAGCGGACGCGGCCGCCGCCCGTGACCTCCCAGAGCTGGTGCATGATCACCTCCTGGCCGCCCGTGGGCTGCTCGCCGTTGAGGAGGGTTGGCGTGTGGCGGATCTGGACGGCCACCGAGCCGTCGAGGTTCTCGAGCACGTAGTCGATGTGGTACGCGCTCGTGTTGTACTTGGAGAAGATGGCGCGGTCCCACATGAGAAAGTACTTGATGCTCGGGATTTGGAACCTGCTCACAGGGCGCATCCACGACACACGTCAACAGCGGCCGCCTTGATGTGGGGTGGCGAGTCTCCGCGTGGGCGAGAGTGGGCACACCTCCTCGCCGGCGTGGCCGCCCCCTCGATGGAGAGCTCGATGGAGGCGAAGGCGTTGGGCTCGAACATGACTTCTGCCATCTGAAACAGAGTCGGGAGGCGCTGTGCGTGAGCGCGCGGCGGACGTGGTGCTGGGTATGGGGCGTAGGCGAGAGGGCGAGAGTGTGAGCGCTCGCCGTCTCGCCGCTCGCGGTCCGGAACAGGCCGGTCAGCCAGTGGTTGAGCACACGCTCCACGACCGGCACAGGAGCCTCGCCGAGCGGGCGGTCGATGATGCTGCGCCTGCGCTTGCTCCTGCGCCGCAGCTCCTCCGTCGCGATGGAGGCGAGGTGGTCGAGTGCGCCCGAGCTCGTCGGCGTCGACTTGCCCGGCAGGTCTTCGTCGCCGTCGCCCACGCACGGATCAGGCTTGGAGCACAGAGCCGCGTAGCGTGCGACGCACTTGCTCCACTCCTCGCGGCGTGCCGTCGAATTGCCCCACCCTTGCGGGATCGCGATCGTCCGTTCCATCATTCGCTTGCGCCTTACTGCTCGCCTGTTGGACCTGCTCTAGAATTCCTATATGAATATGAGTCGCCGTGACCTACCTGGCGGGTGACCTTGTTGCCATTCGGGTGCTGGGTGCCCCTGGGAGGACGTCTGCAAGCCCCAGGCGCCTCACTGTCACAACAACAACAGCTGTCTAACACAGGCCTCATCTTTGTGTCGTGGGTGGCTGCGCATTTTTTGCCACCCATCACCCTCATGGTCACCATTCAACTCGGCAGAGAAGGCGTATATAGCGGCGCAGCCCCGCCATCTTCTCTGCCGCAGCGTGAGGTGCAGGTTGAGGTGAAGCAGGTCTTAGTCATGAAACGAAGGAGATGCGAGGGGGGGTGACATCACGTGCTGCTGGTTCTCGGGCATGTCACCTCTTCTTCTCCCTCGACGTACATTGCTCTGAGCTCCCCCCCCCTCGCCTTCCTTCCTGACTCGGTGTGTACGATGTCGAATACCGCGATGTGTACGTTGCCGTGCAGTTCAACGACCACTTCTTCCATCTTCTCCGTCAATTTCTGTCCCCTCTCCGCCTCACAGTCAAGGAACTCGGAGGTCGCCTTCCCGATCTGCGTCTCACACTCCTCTAGTAGCGCTTTCCGTCTGTCGCTGTTGGAGAGGTCCGGCGTGTCAATCGTCTGTAGATGGCTGCTGAGGCATTCCTGTGTCCAGAATCCCTTCCCCCCCCACTTCCTTGTGTAGGCCGTTTTCAACGTTCCGCTCCATTTCCGAACCGCGTGCGTGATCCGTCTCCACTTTGCTATCTTCCATCGCAGTCTCTCCCTCTGTGACATGGGGGGGCGTCCCCGTCGTTGAGTGTCTTGCTGCCCGCTTCCCTCTTGGTCGCCCCTATCCTCGTCCGTCCCGTCGGGCTGCCCGCCCTTATCCCCTTCCTTTTCTAGTCGCAACTTGTCCTGCGCCTCTTTTATCACGGTATTGGCGTGGTCTGTGAGCGCCTTTGTCATTGCTTTCAGCCTCTCTGCCGGGGTCGCGTCTTGTTGCGTTTGTATCGCTGTGTCGTAGGCTTCCTGCACGGTCTTCGTGAACGCCTCTTCGGCGTCTCGGTCCAACTTCCGGCTGACTCCTTTCGGTCGGTATTCCCGCTCTCCTTCTGGGTCGTCCGCCCCATAGTATTCGACCGCCACGATCTCATGGTCTTTCCCGCATACGCCTGGCATGGTGTGTACGCGCCCCATCACATTCGCTAGCGCCGGGGTGACTATCCAGTTGTCAATTTGCGTGCCCGTCCGGTACGTTGCGTCGTTCGCCATCGCTCTCAAGTCTCGCCCCACTTCGGTCAGCATCCTGTTGAACATCCTGTCCGAGAGAGTCCGTTCCTTTTTGCCTCTGCCTCGTAGGAAGGCTTCCGTCTCGGCGTTGAAGTCCCCACCGATCATATATTCTCCATGGACTTTGTCTAGCTCGTCACTTAAACTCTCCCACGCGTCTTGCGCGGGGTCCTTGGTCTCTGTGTCGCCCGTCCCTCCGCTCGCCGCGACCGTTATCTTAGCCTGCCCCCTCACTGGCATGTAGACTCCTATCTGTGTCCATTCCAGCCCGCTTGCCACGTCCTCCATCTCCACCCTCACGACGCGACCTCTCACCACCTCCTCCCTGGCCACTTCTCCCTTCCCGTCTCTCTTTGCTTGCAGGTGGTCCGGGTCCCACACAATCAGCACCCCCGCTTTGAGCGCGCGCGCGGCCGGGTCTTTGTAAGCTGGGGTCCCGCACGCCTCTATCCCCTGCGTCTCTAGATATTCTATCACTTCGCGCATTTCTTCCTCGCCTAGGTGCGTGTCCGCCAGCGTGGCGAGCCACACCCCTCCTTCTTTTATGTACCTGATGATTTCCGCCAGCTTCTTTGTTGCCTCCCGTCCCGTGTTGCGGATCGGTGCGCTCCCCCTCTCCCTTAGTTCCCGGATCTCCTCCATCGCCCCCTCTATGCTCTCGAGGCCCCCGCCGCATACGTTGAGGGTGGCGAAGTGGGCTTGTTCGTGCCCCTTCTTCCCGGTTGCCCTTTTCTGTTTGCCCTTGCTCATTCCGTTTCCGTGCAGTGCTTTCATGAGCGCGTTCCACTCGGTGATGGGAATGTGCCACGTGTAGGCCGCGGGTATCCCCAGGTGCGCTAAGTCCTCATCGATGAGGGGCCTCATTCCCAGGCGTTGCGCCCGCGTGTCGGCCCTCTCGAGCGGGCTCAAGATGGGTTCGGCTGCGGGTACCCCGTAGAAGGCTAGGTCGGGGTCTAGCTTCCCTCGCTCCTTCCGCCGCGCATTCCGTCGGTGTCGCTTCCACGCCCACACCCTTCTCTTTCTTGCGCGGATCGGGAGGGCGGCGACCTCTGCCCCCGTCCACGCTTCGCATCCCCTTGGCGCTGGGCGCCGGGCACGGCGTTTTCTTTTTCGAGCGCGCCGTCTGGCTTTTTCGCTTCTTTTCTCTCTGCGGGGGGGGTCCTCCGGTTTTGCTCTGCTGCAGCTGTTAGGCGCCTCTGCGGCTGGTGCTGCTCCTGTCACTATTTCACTGTGTCGTGGGGCCGACGTGCGCGGTGGCCTTCCTCGGCCCTTCCTCACGTGACGCACGGCGAGGGCGGCACTCGCCACGGCTGCGAGCGCCCACCCTATCCACCACCTCACTCCGCACAGAGGCGCCAGTAATGACAGCAAACAATTAAATAAAATCCACCCTATATGAGGCGGTGAATCTCCGTCGCTGCGGATCTCGACATCCGTCGTGTCGCGTGCGTTCGCCTCCCCGTTACGCGTCGGCTGGTCCCTGGTTCGAGATCCTGGGGGGGAGGGGGGGGCCTCCTCGGCCTCCTCGGCAGCCTCGGCAGCCTCGACAGCCTCGACAGCCTCGACTGCTTGACGCACGCGACTCGCGCGGCACCCGTCGTTTTGCTCGCCGGGCGGCCCCCACGCCGCCCCGTCTCGCGCTTCCTCGCGTGTTCGGGCCTCGGCGGGCAGCGCCTCGGCTGGTGCTCTCCTTCTCGCTGAATGTGCTGCTGTTGTTTTGCGCACATGGTCTGGCTGCACGGTTCGTTGCTCCCGGGGACCAGAGACCGGTGGTGACCCACCGGTTCGGTACGACCCGCAGCCTACTCCTACTACCGCGCGCGCGCACGCGCGGGCCGCCGCGGGCACGGGCGGGGCGAGCGAGCGCACCATTGTCTCGGTTGGTCGCACGTCGCCTGTTTTGCCCCCATGCAAAGTTGGGCCTTTCCCCGTGGTCAATTTCTTTTCACTCCAATAACCTCACCAACGGCGGCTCAGCGCTGAGAGCCCGAAGGCTTGCCCCCATTTCTGACAGCGCTCGCTGGCCACGTATGTACCCAAATTCAAGCGTCTTTCCACCCTCCGCTCCTCCCGGCGCGCCTTCCTCCTCCACGTTCGACGACCTACCGCCTCCCCTCGTCGACGCTCTCGCTGTGCTCGTCGCCTTGTTTGGCGTCCTGCTCGCGTTTTGCGGTATGTGGGACACATCTCTCGTCCTACGCCGCTGACATACGCCTCACTCTGCGCGTGTCCCCTCCCATACCAGGTCAACGCTTCTACCAGACCGCCCTCGCCCTCTCCGCCGGCGTTTGTGCGGGCGGCGCGACGTG